GGTGGGGAGTGGGGGGGGCCCGCGGGCACCGAGGGGTCCCGGGGCTCGCGGGTCTCGGGTGGGGTCTTTTCCTCTCAGTCGCACTTGGTTGAGTTCTCCTGGGACTTCCGAAGTTCCGGCCCGCGCCGGACTTTTGGGATTCCCTTTTCCGTCAATATGAATCCGAGGAATGAATGAATGAATGAATGAATGAACGAAGCAACTTGGTCCCTCACAGGGTGGCTGCGCGACCTCAGCCGAGGCCTCTTTCCTCCTCTGGTCGCTGGTGTTTTCCTCTGTGAAAGGGGGGTGGGTTGCGTGGTCCGAGTCCCTTTTGCTCCCCCTCAGTTTCCCCCCCCCCCCAGTCCTCAACACTTGCCAGTCATTAATGCATTAAGTCCTTAATTGACTCTGCCTGGCCCTGGCCAGGGTCTGGCAGTATATGAGGACCAGGAGGCTGAAAGGGCGTTCTGGGAGTTTCCTCTATCCGCAGACCGGACAAAAGCAACCAGACCCCACTGTGGCGTGGCATGGCCTGGCGGCGCCAGCACAACTGACCTTGGGCTTGCGCTGTCTCTTCCCACAGCACCGTCACCATGTGGATCCAGGTGCGGACCATGGACGGGGAAACGACTCGCACGGTGAACTGGCTGTCCAGGCTGACCAAGGTGGAGGAACTGCGGAGGAAGATCCAGGAGCTGTTCCACGTGGAGCCCGGCCTGCAGAGGCTGTTCTACAGGGGCAAACAGGTAACCCCGCCCTGCAGGCCGCCTGCCCGCCCGGCACCTTTGTTCTTGCCTGGTCCAGGCACCGCGCCTGGGCAGCCACCAGCAGAAACATTCTCCTCCCCCACCTCCTCGTCCATCCGGCTTCACGTGTCCCGGAAGGAGAAGTCCACAGAAACCTCAGATGCCTGCGAGAGGAAGGAACAAAGGCGGGACCCGCAGATCGACACCCCGGGGCAGGCAGCTGGCACTTGAAAACCTGTAGCATCTGGGCTTTTAAACTCTTTTTTTTTTTTTTTTAAAGCCCCCTCAAAATAATTTCTAGAGAAAGAAATTGGAGGTGGCGGACAGAGGGCTGAGGAATTTTGCAGAAGGGCCTAGTTCGGATCATCACGCAGATAGGACGGGGAGGGCCGGTTTTTGTTTAAAACGCACACTGATGGCCCTCAGCCTGTGCTCGTTAAACGTCGGAGTCTGTTTTCTAGAAATTTGGATTAGCTGTGAATACAGTCTGGAGATGGTGTCGATGGTGTTTGCGAATCGGGAATTCCCGACACTCTGGGCCTGCTCTCCTGTGGCTGCCCGTGATGGGGGGAGATGTGGTCTCCGAGGGGTTCTGCTTGTCTCTTTCCCGGCCCCTTGTAGCGTTTAAAATGGCCACCTGGGCTTTCGCAGCTGCCCGTGTTTGGGACGCGTTCTCTGTTGGCACCTGGGGGGGGTTCTGTTGTTGGCATCGTTGGGGGACAGTGGGACGTCCCAGGAGTGGGGTTTCCCGGTGGGGTAAGATGGTTAAGATCAAAGGTGTGCCTCCTGTCTGCTGGAGTGGGTTGGACTATGGGGACAGGGCCACAGAGACTCCTGGAACTCGATTAAAAGTCGTCAGTTGGGCTGCGTGTGCCCGACTTTGTTGTTGTCGAATCTTGAACTGGGTACTGCTGCCATCTGGTGTCTAGATTGAAAAACAAATGCGCTGGGCTTGCCCAGGTTTTTTGGGGGCTGGGAGGAAGGATCCCGCCTGCTGACTCCTGATGATTAATTTCTTGGGCTCATGGCGCCCTGGGAGACCTTCCTTAGTCTCCTTCCCGTAGCCTTAGTCTCCTTCCCGTAAAAGACTGATGACTCGAGTCTTAAGAATCCGAGTTAACCCGCCCTGTCCTGGGAGAAGCTGACCTGCAGGACTTGGGGACTCGCCGGGGCCGCTGCGGGTGTGGGGAGGAGAGGCAGGGCTGCGATCTCAGCGGACCTCCACTGGGTCTTTCTCCCTCTCTCTCCAACGGTGGCTTCCAGACTGATCTTGACTTTGCCGCTCTTTGTTGAGCCTTCACTTCACACAGTTTCTGAAAACCTGCATGTACCTGCTAAGTTCATGGCCCGGCTCACAGGTGGGCTGGACTCTCACCCTGTCGAGTTCATGGGAGGCAATATTATCGGGTGCCCACCACGTGCCAGGCACTGAGTTAGCATTTTAATTTTTGTATTTCAAACATGCAGGGCAGTTGACAGCGGTGAAACACCTAAACACACCTCCTCCCATGTAGACTTCACCGTTGACATTTTGCTGTATTAGGCTTGTCACAGGGATCTATCTTTCTGTTCATCCACCAATCCCAGTTTCTTGGGATGCATTGCAAAGTTACTTGCAGACAGACGCCCCTCCGTGTCACCCCTAAACACATCAGCAGATGCATTGTTGACTAGAGTTCAGTATTTGTGGTTCTGTTTTTTTTTAAGTTAAAAATTTGTGTATGGTAAAACACATAGCCGTTAAGCAGACCATTTGGAGAATTTTGACAAATGCCTGCATCCATATAACCCAAACCCCTGTGTCTTTTCACTTGTAACATAATATTTAATCTATACAAAAGTACTTATCACATCTGCAAGTTTAAAGTGTGGCAATGACAGGAGGGCTTATGTTAGACACGCACATCATGGTTTGATCGACAGGATGTCAGCAGTGGGGCACTCACACCGGCTGGGAGGGGAGCTGGGATTTGAACCCAGGATTTTGGTTTCTGAGACCGTGAGCTCTTCTCACAGTGCAGCTTTGGTAGTTACGAAAAGATCTTTGTAACTGCCCCTCATACTCCCTTCCTCCCCCCGCGGTCATTCCCCACGCGGCATCTGCGGAAGGAACGTGTAGTTGTTTCTGTTTTCTGGGCCTTAGCGAGGTGACGCCATTTCCCCA